TTGCATGTACTCGCCGTACATCCGTAAGAAGGGCCTTCTTTTTTAAGCGCGCTTACTCATCACGTCATGGACGCTGACGCCATGTAGCGCGTGAACATAATATTATACATAAAATATATGCCGTAAAAATATATATATGTAAAAATATGTACAGTTAAGTCCCCTTTTTTTTATCTCTTCCTTTCGTTCGTTACAAAATTGGTGCATAAAAATGGTACCATTTATGCCCATATGCGTTCAAATTTTCGCAGTCCGTATGGCGCAATTTTTTTTTTTTATACCAGAAATGTTAATGTATATACTTTTTTTTTTTCTTTTTCAAATACTCGGACAAAATATGACGCAAATTTTTTGTATGATTTTTATATCCTTTTTTTTTCACCATTCTGCATTTTTTCATTTATTTGCCTCCTCTCAATAATAATCCCCTTTTTTGTTCAACAGAGAATAGCCATTTTTAGCTCACTCTGTTTGATTTGTCATTTTTTCGTGGCACGCGTAAAATGCTAGAGCTTAAAATGCCACACGCGGATTTACATTTATTGTTATGGTATGGTACGTATGGTATGTATGATATGTACCATCATATGTTTACGATTATATACTTCTTTATGCGTATGCAAATTCGTATGACCACGTGTATATTAGCAAGCCAATACCCTCTGCACTCATCCTTCTTTGCGTTTTTATACTTTATGTATGATTTTTCAAACCAGCATAAATAATAAGCACTGCAGCGTACCAGAATAAGTATAAATACGAAACAAGTAGCATTAAGCATTAATTTAACATCGTGTTGTATCTTGTCACTCGATGTGCCATCCAGCGGACCAATCGTCGTACTGCCACCACATTATATCGCAATATTTTTTACTCCTGGATTTTTTTCATTTCTCATTAAAGGAAAAAAAAATCAAAAAAAAAAAAATCGTTAATTTTCGATTAAAGGGCCCAAAGTATATAGCAAACAAAAGAAATTTTTTTTTTTTTTGAGAAAAGAAAAGATTTATGTTTTGAAAAGAAGATTGTTTTTTTTTTTTTAATATAACATAACAATTCTTCTCTTTATGTACAAAATCCCTTTAACAAGTTTCTTCGACTTGGCTGACGTTGTATACATGCGAACGAAGCGAATTTATAAAATTGTATGCCGTATGTATTATCCTGTCGTAGCGGAATGACTGACTGAATGAATATATATGCGCTATGAACAAAGATATAACACCATCACTCATGAAGAATGATACACTTTGCACAGCTTAAGCCAAGTTTTAAAGCGTTGTAACGTAACCGTTACTGATAGGGAAACTTAAAATAAAAAAAAAAATAGTACCAGCTACGCCATGCGTACATACATACATATATATATGTGACCCGCCAGAGAAGCGTCAACCATTTCTTTTTCTTTCTTGTTCTCGTAAATTTTAAAATTTGCAGTTCCTTCTAAAAATTTGTTAGAGAACGCGAAAAAGGGACCAATGCGTCCTGTGTGTATATGCGCAGTGTACATCTTTCTGTGTGCATTTCACATTACCCTCCCCCTACACACGCGGACCCGATAGGTATCTATAGTACCCCTTTTGTTGTTGCGTTTCTTTGCTTTACCTCCCCTGCTTACATCCTCGTGTGTAGTAAAATGTACTGGTAAAGCGCACATCACGCGTAGGCACATATGGACAAAGACACCACTTACACGTACGTGCGTGGCTACATAGTTATATACGTGTATACATATGCATACATAACTGCACCTGCCTGTGTGAGTTCGATTACGAATGCTTCTCCGCCACACCTCCAACCCACTCAACGGTCTAAAAGTAAAAAGATAAACATATAGAGATATCAAAAAAAGGTATAAAAACCGGTTGGTATCATAAGCAGTACAACACATGCGCTTAACAATAAATAAGCAAAAGCGTTAATATACTAACGATTTAAAGGGAAAAAAAAAAAAAAAAAAAATTATTGGGAAAAAGAACATAAAGGAAAATAAAGTTATATGAACAAATAGACCGTATCTACCTTATTGAAAAAATACTCGCATGAGCAATACGGAGGTGTGTGCCCAACTGTGATTTGCTACATATATGTGTGACTGTACCTGCGCGCGAGTGAACATGCTGCCCATTTATGTGCCTACATAATGCGTATGCTACTATATTCCGTTGTAATTTAATTTTTTTTTTTACAAAATAGCCCGCGGTTCATTTACGTAGAGCGCACTTCATTTTGGAGAAAATTGTAACTCCGTAATTGTAGGCGGGAGTGGAGAACATGCATTTTTACCCTTACACGCATGTTTTAAGTATATAAAAAAAGAAGTAAATGCATAATGCGCCTTGTTCAAGCGCATTTGAGAGTGTATCCAATTGTGCGTACATATATATATACCTATTCATTTATGTGTATGCCTATACTTTTCTTGCTAGTTACGCCCGCAAGAATGAAAGAAATATAACTAAACATGGGCGTATCGAATGATGGACTAATTACCCATGCATAGGGGAGCAACCTACATACATGTCCAAAATAGAAGGTAAACGCGTCGTAAGAGAGAAAAAAAAAATTGCTAGCGGTAGAAAGAATAAAATAAAGACGTTAATACAAAATTAAATTTTGATTTATTTTTCATCGTAAAGTAATACTTGGCAACATCGAGTTCGTTTCTGTTGTTTAGTTTTTCATAGGCATGGGACGTTGCTCGTGCGCGTGTTGGGGTGTTGCATGTTTATATTCGCATAATGTTGTGTACATTTTTATGTGCGTTGCGCGGTTACAATTGCTACCAACGTACATGCCACATTGCATGTATGTACTGTTTCACCAGTGCGCTTACCCCTTCAGCCGTGCCATGTCCCCTGGACTCACTCGTATAAGTTAACATTAAACGAGACGTTACATATGTTGTGTACGTAGGACGTGTGTTGCATGGATAACGCTTTTAACGTGCATCCTTGTCTGTGTATACTACCCACCGTTTATCCTAGCCTTATGCAAGCCTCCCCCATTGTGTTGATTTGGCGTTATGATCTTTTATTTTTATTCCCAAAGGGAGACAAAAGTGTCTATATGAACTCCCCATGAGTACCACACAACTACGTGCGCCACGTTACATGTATGCTAAAAAATGAAATTACTAATTTCGTGTTTAACTTAGCCCAGTTCTGCAGCAGTGCAGGTAAAGAAAAAGGGAATTGTAAGAAAAATATTTAATGCGATATAATTTGACACAATTCGATACAATTTAATTTGACATAATTTTTTTTTTTTTTTTTCCTATTCGCACGAAGCATGGTTGTAAGCGACACTTACTCAAAATGAACCACAGGGGGGGTGGAAAAGCACAAAAAAAAAAAAAAGAAACTAATTTGTAGCAATGTGTATATATATGCATATATCTGCACACATATATGTATGCGTGTTATTTTTTTTTTTTTTCCTTTTTTGGTGTAGCATGTAGAAGGTGTATAGCATTTTGTACCTGCGCAAAGGCGAGTTAAATATGTTTGCATTTTTTCCCTAGTGTTGTGCAGTTACTCATTTACGTACCTATACACGTGTAAAGAGAAGTGTCGCGGGGATTCTCACGTTTTGTCCCGTTGAGCCATGTGTGTAATGGATACGTGGAGGCGTCCCCAGCCATTTTTGCTTACCATTTTTGTGTGTATACTTGGGGTTACATCTCTGAATGCCACATTTTTTTTTTCTGCCAATTAGTTTTTTTCCCTCACTGTGTGTTTCATATCATACGTTCAAACACACAGCTGCGTATACACACCTGGGAAAGTGCATACCCACGGATGTGTTGTCCCTCTGCAGGGTGCGTCTGTGCTTCTTTGACTTATGCGAGCTCCTACGCAGAGGTGGAGGGGGTATCCTCAAACGTCTAAATGCAATTGTCCGCTTAGCATCCCTGCGCTGTATGGACGCCCACATATTCGGACATACGACTGGCCTCATTACCGTCCACATGGATGAGCGCACCTACATGCGTGGCTTTTCGCAAAAGCAAATAAATGCACCCAATTTTGTGCACATACGTATCCACCACTTATTTATGTTTTAAAAAAAATTACACCAAGTCATGTGATTTTTTCTTCCCCTTCCCTTTTTATTTTATATTTTTTTTTGTTTCATTTCCCCCCTTGTCTTTTAAGTGTAATTGTTCCTTTGAAGGCACAATAAGGGAGAAACGGGTATTAACCTGGCAGACATTCGTTCTTGCCGGGTGCGCTGCTAAGGAGACGTGTAGGGTGCAGTGGGGAGTCAGTACATGCACACACGTGGCTCTCTCCCCACGGGCGCTGCTCACAACGGAATAATCTGAAGGGACGTGTGAAAACGGGCTGTGGCCACGAATAGCCACTCTTTAAAGAAATAGAAAAAGAATAAGCC